TTGGCAGGCGCACCACTCTACCAATGGAAACTGCAGAAAAACGTTCACATATCTGGGGATTCTGATGTAATAAGGGCTGAGGTTTTGCATTCCAGGACAGCATTTCTAGCCTCAAATCAAAATCAGAGCTGTCATTCAGAGCCCAGCGTTACTAATGTTATTGCAACCCAGCGGGTGGGGTGAGGGAACGGCGGGAGGCAGGGGAGGAGGGAGCGAGGAGAAAGATGCTGAATTGGTCGGTTTCTTTGGGGTTTATTTCTAATTTCAGTCGATGAAAGGCTAGGATGGTGGCAGGCATTTTAACCCTTTTCAGGCAGATATTCAGTAATCCCTGAACTAAGCTGCATACCCCAGTGGAAGATGAAGAAAACCATCTGAGTATTTAATGGAAAGCTCAAGGTTTCTAAGCCCAACTCTAAAATACAGAGGGTGAAGAGAACTAAAACCTACTACAGGATTAATTGCTATGAGTTCTCCTGTGACAGGACCTTTTCCAATGGGACTTTGGCAAGCTCAAGTTGTGTCTGGACTGGATAACCACAGTCATGGGCTGCTTTTGATTTTCAAAAAGAAAAATAAATGCAGGTGATTTCTTTTCATATCCCACAGCCAAAGTATATCCTCCCCATGTTTCTGTGGTGGCTTGACACCCCACCAGCCTGGACATCAGTCATTCAGCAATGGTACGGCATAGCCTTCTGGTTAAATTTTACGTTTCCAGCAGAAATCCCAGGTCAGCGGGCATTTTGTTCAAGCACAAGTTGCCAAGTGATCTCTGGATTTGGCTGAGAGTTTGTAAAGCGCTTTGGGTTCCTTTGGGATGAAAATGCTGCAAAAAAACCTCCCAGGCACGGGGTTAACCCAACTCCATCTCTAGTCCCTTGCAAAAAATCCCAGCTCCCCCCAACGTTAGGGAAGGCAAATACCAATTTCCACGCTGCTCTTATGTCAAAAAGGTGACAAGTGTGATTACCAAAGGTTTCCCCAGACCCAGAAGGTGTGTTAGCCTGGATCTCTGTTCTGCTACCACGGTTGTGTTACGGTGCAGTAGGACGCGTTCTAATGCGACGCTATTTTTTCCATCATTTCTACTGCAGGAGGTCTTTGATCGCCTCTATTTGATTTATACTGTTGGATACTCCATCTCTCTGGGATCCCTCACAGTTGCTGTCCTTATCCTGGGATACTTCAGGTAGGCGGCTCTGTTTCTACCTAAGCGAGTTGTCACTAGACTGGAAAAGCCTCAGGCTTTCCTAAAGGATAAAACTGGGGTGACGTGTGCTGCTTCAGCAAGCCACAGGAGGTTGCATCTCTGCTTTGGGCTGTGTTAGTGTCACTTAGGTCGATCTTCTTTGGGACGATGGGTGGGATGTTGGAACTTCTTCCCCTTGCCTGCACCGGAGTTTTTTAGACCCTCTGTAGCAAATGAGGAGGGAGACTTCCCTGGGAAGAAGTTTGTCTCCCTTGGAAGTCTATCTAGGGTTTACCGTCCCTGTTACCTCTTCAGATGACTGGCTTGGATTTAGATAGACAATTTTTAGATAGATAAGGTTTTATAGGGGAAATTCCAATCTAAAGCCAAGTGTTCATGAAGGATAGACCAGTTGAAGGGGACCTCAGCCACAGAAAAGTACCAATCCCCCCATGCTCCTCTGCCTAGGGATCCAAAAATGACAACTCACCCTTCTAACTCTGGTTGTCTGCCCTCCCTTTCCAGCACCCCTGCCAAAGGGATCTAGACCCCTAAATACCATTTTGAACCCGTGCCATCCATTCCTCAGACCTGGCAAATGCATCTTCTTGCTGCCACAGAGACGGTGGGATGGGAGGGATGAAAGGTGTCTCTTACAGCTAGAAGATTGTCCTTTAGGAAAATATACCTGGTGAGCTGCAGATAGAGAGGAGTCCTGAGTCTCTATCCCCTGAGCCCCAGATTCGCTTCCCTTTGGGGCTAGCAGTATCTTCTCCTAGCAGACATCAGGACCCAGACAACAGCTGTGGAGGGAAATTCTCCACGCAGCAAAAAGAGCCACGTGGTGTCTGCAGGCGGACTCCCCAGCTCCCACCGTGCAAGCTCGAGCTAAGCCCCCGGTGCATACCACTGGGAATAAAATGCGTGGCCTTTGGCCCTAAAAGTGCTCAGAGTCCTCTGCAGTGAGCAAAAGGAGGTCAGGGGGGATTTGCTTGGATAGCAGAACATCCCAGAGTCCAAATCTCTGGCACGCACAAGCCAAAGGGGACTGCAGATTCCCCCCACAGGCACTTCACGTGATGTAGTCCCAGAAACCATCCCTGCCACCACCGTACTGTCCTCTCAACCCTTTCCCTCCTAGTTCATTTCCCACTGGACACTGGCAAGGTTGTTAAAACATTAAATTTCCACGTATGGACTCCTAGTTTCAGGAGACATGTTCTCTCTTTATTCATGTACTCAGAGCACTTCACATACAGCCCAGACCTCATGGGCAACTGTTAGAGCTTCTTTGCCCCAAGAATCAAAGCAGCAGCAGGGAACAAGCCAGATTTTATTTGAGATAACACCTAATCCCAGAGATTCACTGACTATATTTCAAATGCAGAGACCAAAGCCCATTTTCATTTATATCTCAGCAGTTCCACTTGGTGTGATTTGTATTATAACAACACAGGAAACAACTGTTATTGCTGTAGCAATCTCCACCAAAGGAGAAAAAAACCCACAGTTTTCAACTTTTATTCCAAATATAGGAGAGATTATAAATTCATTTATTAATTCATGCATGGCTAGCCAGGCAACAGAAATACAGAGGACGGAAAGAGACACCAACACGTCAGTTAGTTCCTTCTTCTCCCCGGAGGCATGATCACTGTTTCTAGAACACACCTCAGAGATATGGGTCTACCCTGTCCACTTCTTTCCATCCAGCTTTTCCCCTAAAAGGATCTTAAAGCGCTTTACAATCAGCATTTGCGGGGTCACTGCTGCCATTGCCCACAAACTGCTCGACATAACCAAGCACAGAATAGTGTCTCCAATGGCAAAGAGAAAACAGCCCAGCACTCTGTAGTTACTACTATAGTTGCTTCTAAATTTGGAGTGGGCACAAAGATGGAGATTCACTGCCCACTACGTGCACGCTTATTGCCCAATATGGGCACAAAGCATCCCGTGTTTCTTTGCAAGATTCCCCAGTCAGAAATAAAGGAGTTTAAATGAGTACGGGCAAAGCATTGTCGTAATGCAAAGTCTGCTGCTACCAAACCCCCGGTATTCTTCAGAAGCAGCGGTAACTCCCAGTCTGTCCCACAGATGAGCTAAACAACCTCAATCCTTCTCTGTCTCCTCCTCCAGACGTTTGCACTGCACTAGAAACTACATCCACATGCACCTGTTTGTCTCCTTCATGCTGAGAGCCATGAGCATCTTCGTGAAGGACGCAGTCTTGTACTCCGGCTCAGCGCTGGAGGAGATGGAACGCATCTCAGAGGAAGATTTGAAATCCATTACCGAAGCACCTCCGGCGGATAAATCACAGTTTGTGAGTATCGCTGGAGTAGCTGGTTCTCCAGGCTTCGTGCTGGCTGGAGCGCTCAGCACACTTCAAAACTCTCTCTTTATGGAAAGAACAGAACACATTTTACTGCATTATTTTCTGTTTCTCCTTGGACTGGACTCATTGTAAGGAATAAATGGGATAATATATTGCATTCTTTGAACATTAATAACTTAATGGCATTTCCCATTCTTCCAGACTGAAAGGCAAATGAGCGATGAAGACGACAATTGATTTATTTCTTTTCTTTCCAAGTGAAGTGGGATCTTTGCAGTTGTTGCCCGATGCTCCCTGTGTATGGGTAGATGGTGATCTTTTGTGAAAACAGAAATTATTATTAAACCTGGATGGAGATTTTTTTTTTATTTGATCTTCCAGCCTAGGCCATTCTGTGTTTCCTTCTATTTTAATTCACTTTGTAAAAGAAAATAGATGTAAATGTGTCCATTTGCTATATATATACACATATGTACATTTATGTGTATATAATATGTGGTTATTAATTTTGATTGGCAAAGTATTTGTATAAGAGCTATGCCAGAATTAAATTTTTTCTTTTTACTTTACATCTTATTTACATTTTCTGCAAGTCACTTGTGTTCCTCTCAAAGGGATAGGCAGCACTGGAGCTCTGCCGCTGCCGTGGGCTGTGTTTGGTAGTCACTTGCTTCCCATGAAATCGAACTGTCCAGAGTCCTACCACTTCCACTGGAGAAGAGGTGGCTTTATGTGTCCCTTTGTACCTATTAACCTCATGTGGCACCATGACTTTGCAGCCTTTCTCTGCTAGGGTCAAAGAAATATTGGAAGAAGGGTGGCTTTGCCCTTGTCTGCCAGAAGGACAAGAGAGTGTCGAGTCCTGGCCAGGGTTTTCCTCTCCAGAGAGCAAAAGATTGCAGGTCAGAGTGAAGTGAGAGGTCAGCTTATGAGCCCATCAAAGATCAGGGTGTCCTGGAAGTCTCCACATGGTCTCCCACCTTGCACCTCAGGTCTATTCAGAAAACACCTTGACATTGTGGCTCAAATCATCCAGCTTCTGTGTGTTCTTGGAGAACCAGTCACCAAAGCCTAGAGCAGCCATCTAGGGTGCTTCACACTCGTTGAGGAAAGACAGGTGACCCTGGAGAACCCTGTCCTGGACATATATGATGGGATGGTGACTGACCGTCAACATTGTGCCTCTCTCTCTCTCCATGAGCTGAGGAGGGAGAGAAATTTCCAAGTGATGTGACTTGCACAAGGTCACCCAGACCAAGGCAACTCAACCATGGACTTTTGTTTTCTCGCATGGACAAGAGACACAGTGAAAACATTAAACACAGCTGCCCTTGAATGTGTATGAAGTTTGGGAGAAAGTAGGATCAGGTCAATACTTCTCCACATATGCCCTCTCCTCCTACACCTCCCAGCTCACCTGTTATTGGAGACATGATGTCAGGCTGAGGGGAAGATTTCTTCTCAGTTGTTCATCTCTTCTACTTTTGCTTTGATTTATCCCCCTTGGTTTTATGCAGAACAAGAATTTCACACCATGTTCCTCACATAACCCTGTCTTTCTGTGGTCATTGCAGGTGGGCTGTAAAGTAGCTGTTACCTTCTTCCTCTACTTCCTGGCAACCAATTACTACTGGATTCTGGTGGAAGGGCTCTATCTCCACAGCCTCATCTTCATGGCATTTTTCTCAGAGAAGAAGTATCTTTGGGGATTCACGTTATTTGGCTGGGGTAAGTCATGGCTGCTCCTTGTGGCTGAGCTGTGAGAAGCCTGTTAGAGGTAGTCTTTGAAGCAGATAGTGTATATATATAAATATATGAGGAGGGGCAGAGGCAAGGTGAGCATCAGAGACTCAGTGACTGATTAAGAAAGCACAGGTTTGCCCTCATGTGAAGCCTTTGTTAGTTTTAAATTGTGATATTTACACTGTGGCCCTTCCAGGATCTCTGAAAGGATCAGCCCAGGCTTGGAGAGATGGTACATCTTGCCATCCTTCCAAGGCAGCAGATATGTACATGGGACAGCTGATTTCTCTGTTATCCCCCCCAGTTCTGCCTCATGTCTCCAGCTGAGAAACAAGCATTGAGTTGGAGGGGTGGAAAGTTGTATGAGGCTATGAGCATCGCTCCCCATGGCAGACCTAAGCTTTGATTTCCTACCTCAGTTCTCAGCCGCTTGAAAAACTCCTGAGGTTTCATGAGTGCTGGAGCACCAGTAGAAGCCTGCAATTTGTGGGGAAGGCTTTTTTTTTTTTCTTTTCTTTTCTTTTAGGGTGGGCACCTTTTCCTGGAGTAAGGAGAAAGGGGAGGGATGTGGGTGCAGGGAGGGTGCTCATTAGTGGAAAACGTTGTGGGCACACACATTTCAGACGAGAATGCGCTTTCTGTTCACTTCTGGCACTAGCTTTGGCTTGCAAAGAGTTATGAGGTGCTGGTAGGCTGAGGACAATAAAACAACTGCCCACAGTTGTCTGAAGTGTGTGGACTGTTAGGGGGAACAGGAAACGTATTAGATGATCCTCGTGGACATAACTAAGAATGATGGGGTGTAGGTCTACAAAGGAGCTTACAGCAGGAAAAAAACCTGTTCAGAGGTGTCTACAGTTACCTCTAACCTGCATGGCCCAGGACCACTTCATAGTTTCCAGGTCCAAAATGCACCTGGCCACATCCTGACTGCATTTTGGGACAAGATTGATGTGTGCACCACACTATCTGCATTTCAGAACATGATTTCTTCTGGAATTAAAAACGGAGTCTCTAACAGTGGAGCTCTGAGCAATCCAGGTGGTGCAGAACCAAGTTTATGGAGGACTGCAGGTTTTCATTTGCTAAGAACAAGCCAGGGATTCAGTAACCCAGGGCAGTCAAGCCCTTGGGACTCTCTCCAGCCTCCCTCCTCCCCAAGCGTGATACAGAAGGGGACCACAAGTTCCTTGTTAAACCCATGTTCAGCTGGTGCACAGATCAGAATCTGCTGGTGCTGCCATGTGATAAAGATGGGAGGTGTAAATATGAGTCCCAAAGTCCCAGCCAACTGGTAGGTTTGGGGAAAAATAAATAAACAAATGGGCATATTTGGAGGATGGGGCATTTCTTGCCTCAGCTGCTGTGAGGCAGAGAGGACTTTAGATGTCACTTCTTTTTTAAAATAGACAAATAAAAAACAAGTAAATAAATAAAAAAGAAACCCATCCTCTTCCAAACCTTCAAGCTATGTAAAATTTGCTTCTCAGAAAATGGCATTAAGCCGCACAGAGCAGACTTAAAGAAGCAATTCCCCCGAGCAAATTCTGGAAGAGAGGGAAGAAGTTGAAAAATAATGCCATATGTTTAATAAGAAAAACCAACTTGATGCTGCGCATAACGCAGCCAAAGGAAAACAGTCTAACAGGCATGGGTTCCTCTCATTAATTCTCCCAACCGCTGCCAGAGTATAATCATTTTATCAGAGCGACCACAAAGCTGAAGTCACACCTGTCACAACACCAATCATCTCGGTGCTTCCAAAAAGTTTGAGGCTGCTCAATTTAAATTCCTCTGGAATGAGAACATAGGATCCCTCCAGTTGCATTTGTTTTTTGCTCTGTTTTGATTAGCATGATAATGTACATGGCTGCCACCACCCCCCCTCCATGCGGATGTGTTGTTTTGATAGCTTTTTGGGCACTGGTAAAGAGCAGCCCAATCCAAGACCCACTGGAGTCAGTGGAAAAACTCCAGTTCCCTGCAGTGGGCACTGGATCCTGCCCACACCACAGCAACAAATGACAGGGAATCGACGATAAATAATTACCACGTTCCAAGTGCAGAAAAGACAAGTTTGCCCCAAAAGCTGGGATTTACTTTTTTTGCTTCTAAACAGCGGTGCATTTATCCTACCTGGAAATTTCCAAAGTGGGAAAAGGGAGCAAAAAATCACCCTGCAGCATCTTCTTTCCAAGCTGATGAAGAAACCAGGGCATATAGTCACTCTTTGATGTCAGACCCAAAGATTTCCGTCGAGTCTTTTCAATCCACATCCTCGCTGGCACAAGGGAGCACAGCTCCGCAGCGCCCTTCTCGCAAGGGAGACGCTGATGATGGAAAGGAACTTGTTCCTTGCCAGCACCCACCAGAAATATATAAATAATGATCATATTATGGGCAACAATAAATTCCCCAGCAGACTCCAAGTTCCCTGCAGCTGTTATATGAAGGAAGTCTAAGAAGCATGACCAATAGCTAGAAAACTCAAGCTGATTCCACTGGCATTTTTTCTTCACACCACGTTAATTCCCCACACACAACGCCAGCTACATTGCACTGGCTTTCAGCTACTGTGCAAACGAGGATTGCAAGGAGACCTGGAGAAGACAAATAGATTGATGCGTTGCTGTTGGAGGTGCTCAGGTCCAAAAATCCGTGGTGGTGAGCACTGCACGTTTGTCCAAACAGAAATCATCCTTGCCTGAAAGTATTCGTACCTATTGGGACAAGAGGGTATTATTTGCCCTGTTTAATATTAGGAAAGTATGGCTGAAAAAACACAAGCATTGTTCCTCAGAGAGGTTTTCAAATAGCAGGGAGCCAAGACCAGATTTGTCCAGACCTACATAAGGTCTTTATTCATAAGCTTTCTTCCAGCAGCCGCTTTGCAATCACTTCTCTTACTCACAGCTCTGACACGTGCATGAAAGCCATTTTCCCCGCTGCCAGGAGACACGTACACAAGAAAAGCAACAGAGGAGAACAGGGGGTCGGGTTGGCAACCAGGCTTTGCCCAGCTTGAGGTTTGCACGTTTTCCAGCTGCTGGGGAGATACCCGACTTTATAGCACCTGCATTGTACACACTGTGTGTATGGACTGGAAATGCACAGCGCATACAATGTGGATTCTGTAGAAGTCGCTCAACAGCGGCACCGCCGAGGTGGGGTTCGTCCTGCGCCACACTGGTCGTGTGCATGGGGTTCATACATCCAGGGTGGAAGACATGCATGTGTCCGTCCATGCTGCATCTGTCTGTGCCCACCTAGGAGATCCCAGGCATTTTGGGGACTCACTTTCCTTTCTCTGGTGGCTTGACCAAATGCTTTTAATCCCATATAACTTCCCCTCTCACAGAGCTGCGTCCTCTTGGGTGTCTTGATGTTGGCTATTGTCTTTTGACAGAACCACAGGGAATGGTTGCAAGTTGCAACAGGGCAGGTTTAGGCTGGACATTAGGAAGAAATTCTTCACGGAAAGAGT